AAATACCCTTATCCTTGGTGTCGCCCTGTTTTCATAATTACTTATCACACTAATTTCTCTGTATTACACAGTATACAGCCGTCATGAGCGTATCGAGGAAGAGATCGTTTTCAGTGATGAGGGGGGCAGCAGCTGAGCTATGCAAACAGCTTCACGGCCCAGAACTACCGCGCGCTCTCACCCAACGCTCACGCATGTTTGAGTCGACAGTAACATAAACGCAGCCACGTAATTACTTTTCGCATGCAATTAACCATCAAAGCAATTTCACATCCACGCAAGACACTGAATACCGCTCATTCGCACACCCGCATTAAAAAATCCAGCACTACCTGCCAGAACGCAATCTGTTTTCTGTTGTGTCAGCTGTAGCGAGAAACGTCACAGAGCTTGCAAAATAAATAGCCATTTTCGCTCGTCGTAGACTCGCCATTGTTCACGGCCAGTCCCAGTGTACGATTTCAATGCAAATGGCGTAACGGCGCGAGCGAAGAGAGGGGCGTTAGCGCGCATTTTCAATTACTTCTGTGCGAATATTATGCTAAATACATGTACGTACGTATTACGGTCTATTTGCTTTGGTCGTCGGAAAAGCGGTTGGTGATAATAATGCGACGTTTGTAATGGCGCTTCGTTCTCTTTTTGACATGTATTACTCGCTACTTTCTCAGGGTTTAATCGGCGTGGACAATCTATATAGGCGCTATAAGCGTAGATGAGATAGTGCTGCGGGCTTGATTGAAATACAATTACGTCTGAGAGAAATTTCATTTCTGAAAGCGAATCTTCTAAATTGCGTGTAACTTCGTTATTAGTTTCCGTGTCAATCCGTACGCGGCAGACCGTTGTAATAATTAATTTAATCTACTTGTGAGTGAAAATGAATTAGAAATATATATGGAGAGCATAATAAAATGAAAGCGATTAACTAACCCTGATTAAGGGTTAGTTAATTGTGCAAGAGGGATGATCGTGATTTGATGTACCATGTTTCGCGCTTAATTTTTTTCAAGAAGATGAGTAGGTACGTTTAATGTTTTATTTCTACCAAACCCACATCCGACGTTTCCCGGATACGTACATAGAAAAATGGATACCCGTATATTCAATATACACAGGTTCGTGATATTGTGTATAACGGTCAATCGAATAAAAAAAACCACCTCAGTCAGCTTTCTATATGCTGAGAAACGACCATATGCACCAGGGATCGATCGATTGTGTGTAATGCACTTTCCCCCAATCAACCCCGGCAAAGCTTTGTTACCTGGCCGCACGAGAAATGTCATTGACGGAGGAGAAAAATTCGGCCGATATAGTTATTGAGGCGTTGGCAGAGGTCACGCGACGAGTCTGAGTGACTTCGGTATAACGTGCCATTACCTGTTTTGGTTTTTGTGCATTTCCTACGTGAAGCGGAGGAGACGCGTTCGATTATACTTACTCTCGCTCTTTGTTTTGCAGGAGATCTTCCTGAAGCACCCAGCGATCGGCCGACACGGGTTATAGCGAAACCCGCGCAGCAGCGGCAACGGGAGACAGCGACGTGATGACGTCATGTGTTTGCCACCCACGCGCCAATTATTAGTGACATCAAAGGAGCGGACGAGATAGCGGACGAGGAGAAGGAATTGCTACCGGGTAGCAGATTAGTTTTGTAAATAAATATGTTATATATATAGTTATATATGTGATACTATATAGCTATATATATATAATTATATATATAGTACTATATAGTATATGCATTAGTGTTGTATTTGGCGTGTATACTGGGGATCCATGCAAATTAACAGTGATTGCGTGGCATCAATGCGGGTGGCGCCCCCGCACGGCTGTGGTATGTGCTGAGTTGTGGTGTGGGTGTATGCCCCCGGGCGTTGTTTCGTGGGAGAATGATTGGAAGCCGTGGACGGCCGGCGGGTTTGTTAGCGTCTGGCAGGTTCGTTTCATGGAGAAAGAGGTGAACATAAGTGCAATGCGCATCAGCCGTGTTGTAGTGGTGTGTGTGTGTGCGGCGCGTAATGAGCATGAAATAATGAATGCTCCCGCGTCGCCCCGAGCCTGCCATGCGGAATGTTTTGCGTGCCCCAAGAAAAAAAAAAAAACAAGGAAAAAAGACAAGTGGTTTTTATGATTGAGTGATGAAAGCGCCCAGGTTAATGCGCTCGCGTCTAGGTCTGTGCCGGCCCGCCGCACCTGTTGCAATATCGTCCGTTGCATGGTGCAATTAACGCCAGCGGCCATCCCCTGATTGATCACTTCGCTCAGCTATAATGGGGGTTTACTGAACGCATTAATACGTCATTGCACTACAATGCGCGCCGGCGAGAACACAATGCACTCGCGTAATGTTGGCCGTTGTGTGGGCGCGTGATTGCGGTCTGTAAGACGTGATCCGCCGTGTTTACGGGTTCAAAATATGGAACGGTATTGTGACGAAATTTCGCTTTCCCACCTCGATTCATGTGTGGCGTGTCGTATGCGTGCAGCTATAGCTGGTTCCTTCTTGAATTATAATTTCTGACGTGTAGCAGTCGTTACGTATTATACGATATACATTAGCTAATAAAAATAATAAAGGCTTGTTATGAATGTATTAGACATTACAACCAAATAATTATATTATAATAGTAAAATTTTGAATGCATTCAGCGCTCGTCATCCCGTTATGTTGTGTTCTTCGTGCACGGTAATGTGCATTCTGTATACTGTGTAGTGAAACATTGAGAACAGCTTACATATAGCAAGTATCACGTTTTTACCAGTGACGCTTCTAAAACACGCGCCGTCGAACTCATTATGCGTTGACACAACGTGCGTGCTTGGATTTGAGCCGAGCGATTCAAACGTGATCAGGCGATAGTATTTAGCGGATACTATAGTAATCTGTCAGTTGAGCGATTGTAGATCGACATTTTGCCTTGTCGTGGGAGTTTCGGCGTAACTGGAAATGCGTCTCGATCCGCAGGAATATAGCGGCTTTAATCAAAACGCTCGTCCAGCGAGTGAAATAAGGCTACACGCTAAAATGGGCGTGTTCAATAACTTCGCCGTAATCTGCGTTACGAGACGTGTTTTTGTGGCAGTGGGCGGTTCAACCTAGTAAGATAGTATCGCGCCGATAACGCAAGATAATCGGTATGTCCGAGGCACTGTAGAGTTTCCAGATAGAAATACCGTTTGTAGAATTCAGCATCTCGCGAATGGATATATAACTATAACTAATATATATATATCAGAAGTATGATAAATAGACTTACTTGCTGAATATATATAGTACTATATATATATATAATATATATATCGTATGTAATTGTTAGCGGATGGCATGAAAGTTCAAAATACTCGTTTCACGACATTTCAGCGACTGCCATAGTTCCACCTGAGAAATAGTAACGGGGAGCTTCTAGTTTGGTTAGAAATTTTTCTCGTCTCTTTTCTGTTCCCAGATAAGGATAGAAGAGCCGAGAGCCCAGTAGAGGAAGGAAGACAGAAGGGGAGGCGAGGCCGAGCGAACCGGCCAACAGAGTGAGAGAGAGGAGAGAAGCAGACGAGAGAGAGAGAGAGAGAGAGAGAGAGAGAGAGAGAGAGAGAGAGCGCGCGAGAGAGAGAGAGCGGTAGAGGTGGGGCGAGTGTATACTTATAGTACCTGCCTACGTTTAGCTGTATTACTGCTGTGCGCTCGCGGGCGAGCGTGCGTGTGTGTGTATGTGCGTGCGTGCGTGTGTTTGTGTGTGTTTGTTTGTATGCTTGTTTGTGTGCGTGCGTGCATGTATGTGTGTGTGTTTCTATGACCAACCATTCGTCTATACGTCTGCATAACGTATCGTACGGTCTCTTGATAGCACCGCATATTCCTTACTATTTTTTCCTAACCCGTTCTTCCTTTACTCGTAGTGTTCCGTCCGTCCTCGTGCTTTTCCTCCTGCAATGTCTGCTTTATTGTACGTTTTTTTTATTTACGTAAAATTGTTTGTTAAACGATTTTTCTCCTAGTTTTTGCGCCCTGAATATTCGTAATGCACTCTCGATTATTATTTTTTTCAAATTTCTTTTTTTGCAAAAGTGTATCTTTGCACGATGACATAAGCGTATTATTACACGTGGGTTATAGCCGAAGATGTCTAGCACAAAGAAAAGTCTCGATTCTGTCGCCGTTTGAGATATTTTATGGGAAATTTTTACAATTATTCAGACAAAATCCCTAACGCCGTTGGGTGTTTTCATTTGAATAAATTTCGCCAAGTGTATCACGTCTTTCTAATTCATGTAATGATGCTTATCGCACGCTATTAAATAGAGGCTGCATTAGCCAGTGTGAATCACTTGCGAAATTGCATTGTCGAAACACCTTCAATTTGTATAGAATCTCTTAGAATTAATAAGATCTTAATTGGTGTTTAAATTACTTAATATAGTTTCCAGAATAATTATGTTGTGAAATGGCTCTTCTGTTCGACAGATGAACTAGAGGGGTGGAGAATTTTTAATATAACATGTCCTTCGACGCCCTCCCCCACCCCCGCAACACCTACACGCCCTAATGAGTAGTAAGCCTGAAGATCAGAAATTATTTCTGAAAAATTAGGGAGGTATAATTACGTTTTGCTTGCCGGCTTGCATTCGTTACATATCATTAGGAAACCATAATCAATGTAGCGCAAAACAAACGAAAACCATGACTCTTTGACAACATGGTTTGAACAATCTAGGACTTTATTAATGGTCAGTAACACTCGCTTGATGGAATAAAACCAATTGCTCGTCTTTGTCAGGTTCCTGAGCTGAGCTAGATGCGTATACACACTCGTCCACCTCTCTCTTTCTCGTTCATCTCTTGTCAATCTCCCTCTTTCTCTGGGTGTGCTTGCCTAGGTATCTGAACACGTTATATCTATACGTGCGTCCCCGTATAGGTGAAACACCCCCTGATACCCACCACCACCTGCTCTCTCCTTGCACTACAGTTTGGTCGTACTAAGCCCATACGCGCGTACAAACCCCTAGGCTGTAGTACTACCCATCGTCGTACTTCCCGGGTTCTTCGCACCGCAAGTGCTGTCCGTGTATGAAATGTTGACAGTAAATATAAAGAGCCACTTATCTATCGTCAACATCTCAGTCAGCAACGATGTCGACGCAAGCATGTAGAATATTGATAAGCGCACGACGAGGACGTTTGTTATATATAATGATAAGCGCACGACGAGGACGTTTGCTATATATATTTAGATGCTGTTGCTGCATGTTGATCGGCATGCGCGCATGAAACGAAGCTTTCAACGGCGGCCGGCAATTACCTCTTCTATTTGTTCGCTGCTATAGGATGACCTTTTATGTCGACAGATTTACTAGTGCCAGCCAGCGCAGATCCATTTACGAGAAGCGAGATACAATTGCGTACGCACGAAGCGAGTATGCGTATGTCCCCGTGCATTTACGTGCCAATTTCCGTCGAACGTCGTATGTCGTTAATGCGTTGTGAAACGTAATGTTCGCTAATTGTTTATTGTTTTTATTATTTTGTTGTTGCTCGATTCCTGGTTAATTATCTAACGCGTCTTGGCGATATTAGTTTTTTTCACTTTGTTTTTTTTAACGTTTATTTTTATTATTTTTCTAACGGTAGAATACGGAGATTATATGAAACAGTAAATTGACTACGAAACATAAACATCACTATGACATCACGATAACGCGATATTTGTAATTAATTATAATATTTAATGATAAATAAATGATCGATCGGGAGATTTTGATCTTTTTTTTAAAATAAAAACAATTTTTTTCTGCTATGAACCGATTAGTGGTGATTCTGTTACGCGCTACCTTCCCACTTGTGCAGCGACCAGTGCTGCACAATATTAAAATTTGCTATATTGTTCACAGCATCTGCACGCTGCTGTGAAGTGTATGGTGGTAGCGAAGTATAGCGCTGTTAACGCGATATACGCGTAGACGTCCCTTTAAGTCGTATTGTAAGTAACATATATTTTAAATTTAATTAGGGTTAGAGTTAGGGTTAGGGTTAGGGCACTTTTTAGGGTTTTTGCATCATTCTTTAATATATCGTAAAATATATGTTAAAATTAGAAGTGCCTAGTAAACATATCCTACAACCCCAAACAGCCGGCTGCACCGCGTTGCCCGCGTCGCGCAAAAACGGATGGCGTATTTCGTGATTATGTGTTAAATTGCGCCTCGTTGCTTCGTTCTTGATCGCAATCCCCACCACCCGCTGCATCTACTGCACTGTTTTAAAACACATCTCGCCCACGCACAACACAACGCGGCGATGATACGTGGCCGACACACGACCGAGCTACTCGTCGTTATTCGACCAAGTTATCCATCCCTATATAATCGCCCGTGCGGCAACACTCGGCGGGTGGTCCCCGTCGTTCGCGTAGAGACGCGTATAGTAATCGGGTTGTTATTCAAATACACGCGCGTTGTCGAATGCTTCCTCGCGAAAGCATCTTCAGCTGGAACAACAACACTTCGGCCTCGTGAGGCAGCGCGACGGTATTCGCACGTCGTATCGCTTGGACGTAGTTTGCAGCACACACTACACTATCCCCACGCCACTTCGTCGTGTTGAGTTGGCCACGCGCTGAGCAATTCTCTGCGCATCGCTCACGATTTAATATGCAGATGTAGTTTCTACGTCATCGAACCTTTTCATCGTTGGCAAAACGGATCGTCGACGTGCTGTGACGGTGGGATTGGGGGAGTTTATGATCTAGTTATTAATGTTGAGTGTACTTTATCCTTCCCTGGCTCGCCTGTAGCCGGCTCGCATATATTTCATTGCATGAGGCGTGCGTGCACTCGAAGGAGCTGTGAGCTGTTTCGAAGTGCAAGTTTTTATATAGGGCTCTAGACAATAATTGTTGTTACTCAAGCAATAACGGTAGGTGACTAAACAGATTAAAAAGGGGGGGGGGAAGCACTAAATAGTTCTCGTAAATATGGCTTTAATATTGCTGAATGATATACATACTTCTTATATTTCTTCTTATATATATATATATATATATATATATATACTTCTTATATATACTTCTTTATAATATTATACTTCTTGTTATTGCAGCTCAGCTATTACTATTAGATAATAATTATGGGTTATAGTGTGTACGTGTCAGTTTCGGTGTCGTGATCTGTGGTGTGTGATGGATGTCGATGTGTGTCGTGTGTGTGTCGTGTGTGTGTGTCTGTGTGGCGTTTAGCGTCCGCGTCTGCTCCTGTCAGTGTCTTAGTCGCGTGCGTGGCATCACGCCGCGGCGGCGCTCGCCGCTCCTGGGTTGTGTGTGTGTGTGTGTGTGTGTGTGTGTGTGTGTATGACGCATGAGTAAGCGATAGGTCACAAACAATATATATGCATCGTTGGGTTTATCAAGAAAAGTTATAAAGTTTACATAAAGGTAAAGCCGCGGCTGAGCAATCGTACGGATGTTTGCAGGTCATTATGAATTGACGTTTAATCAATTGCTATAAATTATTGTATTAATTGGAATATTTGATATGCATAAACGCTCGTTTCTTAATAGTGATTCCTGAAGACTTCCTCTCTCGCTCTCCTCCTCTTCCCCTCTCTCGCCCTCCCCCCCTCTCTCTCTCTCTCTCTCTTTCTTTATTTCTATCACTCTCTCTCTTTTTCTCACTCACTCTTACTCTCTATCTCTCTCTCGGATTAACTTATTTAACCTTGTAGTTTGTTTATAGGGCCAACATACTCGCCCTGCAACCGCTGTGCGCTTTCGCACTAGACATGCATGTCGCAATCTCTTGCAAATATTAAGTAAGCGTTGCTCTATTTTATGCAGCTTTCCTTACAGGGGTTTCAGCGTGTTAAGTAGCTATACTGTTTCCTTAAAACCCTGCGCATGCACCGCCATCAGTAAGTCTTTCGATTACTGCGATCTAATGAGATTTGTGTGGGACGGTGGGTGAGATAAATATGTTAACATAATCTAGCTATAGCGTGTGGTTAGTATGGGAGCAGCACAGAGAAGTCTTCCCCGTAAGCCAGCCAGTACGGACGGGGGATAGAGTGGACAGCTCTTTCTTCTAGCAGAGCTTCGTAATCGATAGTGTATGTTGGCACCTGAACCGGATTAACTGAATCCGAGTTCGGTGTCAGGTATTGCGTAATAACGTGTGAGGATGCGCGTAACGTACTAACGTGCCGTCACGGCGCCTGCTGTTGTGCATGCATGTAACTTAACAATCATAAACGCGCGCGTGCGCACACACACACACACACACACACACACACACACACACACACACACACACACACACACACACACACACACACACACACACACACACACACACACACACACACACACACACACACAACAAA